TGGAAAGGAAACTGGAAAAGTAACTTGGAGGAGATGTACAGAGCTCAACAACTGTGAAGCAACACGCTTTCTGTAGTCATGTGCATGATTCAGCAAGGCAAGTTCCATAAGTTCAAAGCTATGCATACAACTGACATGTTCAAGAGAGTGAAAAGTAAGGTAATTCAAAACTGAAATGCATTTATAGCAGAAATTTGTGTGATTTGTGACTTTCTTCTTTGCTGTTGTAGATAGTGTATTGTAGAACATACAGCATTATTAGCCATTTACTAAGATCGGATGGTGGAGATGTAGTAATACAGATATCAGGCTAACATTCTGAGGACATGGGTCCAAATCCCACCACAGCAGGATAATGGAATTTAAACTCCATTCATAAATGTGGAATTGGAAGTTAGTCTCAGCAATGATAGCCCACAGCTATCAGCAATCGTTGTAAAAGTCAATCTGTCTGGGATGCTAGTGTCTAGATCTTTTCCTTCCTTATCTGGTCTGGTCTACATATGACTCCTGACCCACAGCAATGTGGTTGGCTCTGAACTGGCCTTTGAAATGGCCTAGCGAGGCACCAGGTTCACAGGTAATTATGATGGATAACGTTTGCCTTGCCAGTGACATCCACATCCCACAAAGGAATAAAAGAAAACCTGAATCTTTAGAATTCTCTATTGCAGAAGGCTGGGCATACTTAGTTGTTCTGTATATTCAAGGGATAGTGGCAAAGAACACAGTTGAGGTCAAAGATCAGCACTATCTTATTGAATAGCAAAACAAGCTGGAGGGACTGTATGAGTATGAGCTGTTCCTCCTATTTCTCAATGATCTTATGTTCTTATTCTCCAGCTTACCAAGTGATATGAACCTTCAATGAGAGATATTCCAAAGATGAGATAAGAATAAAAGTTCTCACCTCCATACACTCGATTCAAATTCACTCCATTCAAAATCAAAATGAGATTTTGCTTGTCTGCTGATGGGAGCTATTGATGAACAATCAATTGACCCATAAAGCTTGCCTGCTACATGATGGTGGAAGAATCATGACTAGACACTTCCTCAGCACCTTCTCCCCACTTGCCCTCAGCAGCAACGTAATCATCAAGGAGAGACAGAAAATACCCAGAGCCAATAAGGGAAGAAAATTCCCTGCAAAATTCCTCTCCGATATCCCTCCATTAAGTGATCAAAACCTCAGTCTGGAAGGTCACATAGACTAAGTATTGCTCAAAACTGGGCTGCCTGAATCCATTTCCTTTACTGGGAATGGCCCACTGCTAAAATCTGTCTCTAGGGTCATAGAATCAAAAATGTACATCATGAAAACCGACCATTCAGTCCAATTTGTCCATACTTACCAGATATCCTAAATTAATCTAGTTCCATTTGCCAACAATTGGCCCATATCCCTCTAAACCCTTCCTATTCATATACCCATCCAGATGCCTTTTCAATGTTGTAATTGTACCAGCCTCCACCACTTTCTCTGGCAGCTCATTCCATACACACACCACTCTCTGCGTGAAAAAGTTGCCCCTTAGGTCCCTTTTAAATCTTTCCCCTCTCACCTTAAATCTATGCCCTCTAGTTTTGGATTCCCCACCCTGGGGAAAAGATCTTGTCTATTTACCCTATCCATGCCCCTCATGATGTAATAAACCTCTATGAAGGTCACCCCTTAGCCTCCGTTGCTCCAGTGAAAGTAGTCCCAGTCTGTTCAGCATCTTCCTATACCTCGAACCTTCCAACCCTGGCAACATCTTTGTAAATCTTTTCTGAACCCTTTCGAGTTTCACAACTTCCTTCCTGTAGCAGGGAGACCAGAATTGCATGCAGTATTGCAATAGTAACCTAATCAATGTCCTGTACAGCCGCAACATTACCTCCAATTCCTATACTCAAGCACTGACCAATAAAGGCAAGAGGGCCAAACACCTTCTTCACTATCCTATCTACTTGTGACTCCAATTTTAAGGAAATATGAACCTGCACTCCAAGGTCTCTTTGTTTAGCAACACTCCCCAGGACCTTACCATTGCTGTAATTGCCTGTAAGTCCTGCCCTGATTTGCCTTTCCAAAGTGCAGCACCTCACATTTATCTAAATTAAACTCGATCTGCCACTCCTTGGCACATTGGCCCATCTGATCAAGATTCTGTTGTACTCTGAGGTAACCTTCTTCGCTGTCCACTACACCACCAATTTTGGTGTCTTCTGCAAACTTACCAACCATAACTCCCATGTCCACATCCAAATCATTTATATAAATGACAAAAAGCAGTGGACCCAGCACCGATCCTTGTGGCACACAACTCGTCACAGGCCTCCATTCTGAAAAGCATATTGTTAATGCCAGTCAGACACACCGAAGGATGCAGTAAGTAGCAAAAAAGGGTGACATTTAAAGAACAGATACATCTCTGAGCTTGGGCTGAGGCAGAATACGGAAAGCATCAAGTTACATTGAATTGTGTGAGAGCTGAACAGGTAGTGTTTGCCACTGTAAACAAGAGTCCAGGATGGACTGTTTTCAACCCCCTCCACACCTTCACCATCCTTCATCTCAATGACTGCAAAAAGTCCCAAGGAAAGAGTTGAAGAAAGTAGGAGAAAATGTTGAATTGGGAAGTACTTACCAAATTAACTGCAGAATCTACATTGGTACAGCTAGTCAATGGAATACAACAGGAGAAATAAGAGAGGGGAAATAAGAGATTGATTCCGTGACCTTAACATCACAAGAAAGAACTTCACTTTGAGCTCATCTGATGAATGTGTTAGCAAATGGATATTTTATAAAAGAACAAGAGAAAATTAATGTAAATCACACTGAAGACTGAACTGCATATTCTGTATGTGCTTTGCTATGGGTGCAAGTGTCTCCACCAAAGACTTGAGCACATGATTCAGGCTTACACATCAGCTCAATACTGAGGGAGAGCTGCAGTGTTGAAGTGCTGTGTTTCCAACAAGACTTTAAACCAAGGTCCTATCTGTCCTCCCTGAGGTTGATATAAAAGATTCATGGCAGAATGCAGCAAGAGCAATGGAGTCCTGCAGGGTGTCCTGGCTAATATTTATCCTTCAATCAGCATCAGTAAAACGGATTCTGAATCATAGAATGGTTACAGCACAGACACTGGCCATTCTTCCCGTTAGGTTCACAATGGTTTTCTAAATTCACCCTGTCTCACTCTCCCACCCTTTCCCCATAGCCCTTTAACTGGTTATATCAGTTAGTTGGATTTTGCTGTGCACTAATTGGCTCCACTAATTGGTCACATTACAATCATGACTATGTTTCAAAATGACATTCCTGCTAGAAATTGGAGCAGAGAGTTAAGTGGATGGTCCAGAGAAACAAGTTAAATGGAACTTAGAGACAAATGTAATTTTATGAAACAGGTCAGAAAGTTCCATTCAGCACACCGCTTCAAGTTAAACAATAGCAGTAGGGTAGGGGATGCTGATTCAAACTGGCAAGTGGGACCTTTAGTGCCAACATGAGGAACATAATCGCCACACGGAATGACTAACAATTGGATTGATCTTACAATTACAGTAGAGGGTGTACCCCAGACACTGTGAAGAGGTTTGGGGAGACTGTAATTTCCTTCTAAATGACTGAGCTAGAATGGTGGGAAGGCATTTCCTGTCTGTATTTATCTTGTGACCACTTATAAAATGATCTGGGTGCTGAGGTTTTACTAGAACCTTGAACGTTTACTTTTCCTTTAGCTAATTACCAGACTTGTCGAGTTCAATGTTCAGACTTGCTCTCAAGCCACACGCAATTTGAAAAGTACAACATATTTACAAGCTTGCTTCTTCTTTGACATTTCTTGTTTACAACTTCTTTATGCAAGTAGTCCATG